ATTGAACTAAAAATTTATTTCTCTATCTTGAACATTCAGTGTAGATTTGTAAGAAAATTTTCTGCCTGTCTCCCCTCACAAAACTGGCTACTCCCAATTGAAGAAAAATCTGTGGGCACCCATGCATATTTACATATTACTCTAAGAACATTTAGAGAAATATTTAGTCAATGGCTATAAATATGGGTTAAGTACTTCAAATTGTATTATTTATATCTACAAGATGCAGATAAATACAAAATGTACTTCTCTAATGCAACAATAGTACATATTAAACATCTTCAACATTTGGTCAGCACCCAACTATTACATTTATAAATTATATACTTGTACATATAATACAATATATATTAAAGACATTCTTTGTTAAGAAGTGCAAAAAATGGTAAATGGAGATGAAAAAATTACTGAGGGAACGCTAAATGGTATAAAACTCTTGAACTGCTGTGGATATTAAAAGGAGAGGATTTGAGATCAAACAAGAGTGGCTAAGAGGATTCTTGAAAGTAATCCAGAAAGTAGAAGTGGAAAGCACAGATTGAGAAGTCTGCAAGATGTATGGAATGATTCATAAGACAGGAAAGGACAGAGATGGTAGCAAATGGCAAATAGCAGATAAGAAGTGGAATCTGTTGTCGAAAAGGTGCCCAAGGTTCTTCGTAGGACTACGAAGGCAAGGGGTAATTAAGCTGAGAAAAATGGTGTAGAAGTGTCCTCATGAGGAACATTACTGCCACAGCCAGGAGCCTCTCTTAACGATAAAATTATTTTTTGCCATCAGACATCGGTTCAATACAGGGTCAGCTCCCATGCCAACATCTATTGACAGATACTTCATTTGAAGCTCTGATGGCAAGAATACACAGTGAAGACTTCCTATGCAACCAGACATATCATTGGCTGCATCTCGCATCATCAGCAGTTGATCAAACCCTGATGATGGTACACAGAGACAGTTTCTGAAGCACAAGACATGAAGGGTTTTGGATTGGTAATCAGATTTATTGGACTGTATTTTTAACACACGACTCATGAATACACTTTACAGTTCGTTGTTACACTAGTATCTACAGTCACACCTTCACTGCTGTTGGTAGCAGCTTCCAATGCCAGATATTCCCCTTCAGCTGGGTTCCTGAACTGTCCCAGGCCTCAGCTACCAGCTTCTAACAGCAACTAAATTGAAGCAGCTCTCTCTAACAGATGTAAACTGTGCAGAAAATGCTATCCTCTATTGCCTATTATTGCTTAATGATGGCATGACATATTTCATTGTTATGTGCACAGCTATCAGCACAACCCACGCAGAAAAGGCCTTCCTCTGTTGTTGTTTACAGGTGCCTGCCTAATAATGGCCGGCTTTTGTTGACTCCACAACTCTTGCTCTGAGCAAATGCCCCAATATTTTGGGCATGAGAACAAAGTGCTATGAACAGAGAGAAGCATTCAGTAGAAGAAAGAAAGAAACTGCTAGAAAATGGGTATGAAATGGAAGGAACATGCAGAATCAAGCTAATTTATCTACAGAGGCTACAGGACATTATGCAAAGTTTTTCTTCCTCCAAAGTCACACACAGAGCCAGGATGTTTTTCTAAAAAAAAATCATTTTTGCTGGTAGGGGCAGCTGGTGTGATCTGAGAGACCCACACTTCATGGGGTAGCACCCCTGCCCAGGCAAGCTCCAGTCCTCCCAGCTCCCGGAGGTAGTATCTTGTAAGGGCCCCGATCCAGGGTTACAGGAAATAGTATTGGTACTTCAATGGCTGAAACCCATTTTGGATAAGTCCTGAGTGGTCACAAAGGCAAGAAGAGAAGAATTTAAGTAGCTAAGTGAGCAGAGGAAATAGTAATCGTGGTGAACTTATACTACACAGGTGAGCTGGGCCATGCATCTAGAAGCTGACAGCCGCACCAATGACCTACCCTGAAAGACACTGGTAATATGTTCGGGGGAAACTGTGATGCTCAGAGACTAAAGGACCTTATCGGACAGATGCAGAACAGGTAGCATAGGTGGTTGAGTAATTTGATTAACTGAGTAAATTTTCATCATCAGGCTTAAGGACAAATTGGGGAAATGTGTGTAAATTTTAGGAAACATAAGAATGTAGCAGTGTTCCAAAAGGAAAAGTGCATACAGCAAGGGAAAAAAAAAGAAGCAAAATCTATGAGTACAGTCTGCAGCCACCTGCTCAAGCTGGTTCCTCACTCCCAGATTTTTCTACCCTGAAGATGGAGGTGATACGTTCTTCAGAAACGTCGGTTCACACAAGATATATATGGTGCCACATCCCAGAAGACAGCATTCTTCATGAGTACAAAATCAGTTTCATTGTAATCACAGACAGAAATATCATCATAATCCAATAATGAAACACTGCAGAAAAAACTAAACAAAAAATTTCTTTCTTATTATTTAAATGAAGGAGTAGGGACAGATCATTTGGTACGGTAATGGGCTACAGGCTGGACGGCGAGGGTTCAGTTCTCCACAGGGTCCAGACCAGCTCTGGGGCCCACCCAGCCTCCTATCCAATGGGTTCCCAGGGTGCCTTCCCAAGAGTAAAGTGGCTGAGGTGTCAAGCTGACCACTCACCTCCATCTAGTGCCAATGTCAAGAATGGTGGAGCTATACCTCTACTCCTCCATATATCTTCATGGCATAGTGCATAATTAATTAAGCACAGGGACAACCTTTTCTTTTTATCATTTAAAAGAACATCAGCATAACCTTTCTTATTGAAACTGATGTTTCTTGAACAGAAGCTGGCCACTCACATCTATGAATCTGTGGACCTATACCTCCACTCTATCATTTGATCAAACTTTAGATGGCCATGCAAAAAGTGTGGTGTTGGTTGAAAGCAGAGAATGTTTATAAAATTTCATTTATAAGATATGGTCCAAACTGGTTTTAAATATAACTCACTTCCTGGAGCTGAACCCTTCTTGAGAGGCTGCCATTGTGCAGCTACTCAAGAACTTTCCAGCATCTTATGGAACCTGAAGGTTCATTACCATGTTCACAAGAGCCCTCCACTGGTCCTTATCCTGAGCCAGATTTATCCAGTCCATACAACCTCATCCTATCCAAGAACCATTTTAATATTGTCCACCCACCTACACCTTGGCCTTCCCAGTGGTCTCTTTCCTTCTGTCTTACCCATCAACAATCCTATATGGAATTCCGCCTATCCCCTATTCATGCTACATGCCCTGCCTATCTCATCCTCCATGACTTGATCATTATAACTATACTTGGCAAAAAGTATAAGTTATGAAGGTTCTCATTATGCAGTTCTCTCCAACTTGCCTTCACTTCATGTCTCTTCAGTCCAAATATTCTCCTCAGCACCCTGTTCGGTTTCAAATATAACCACTTAAATTTAACTTCTTTGTGCAGGGTGTCAGATTAAATGGTGGTACTTTATGAAGTTTTATTCTACATTAAAAATGGAAAAACGTTGTTCTATTGCATATATATCACAGTAAAGGAACTGGATGTCTTTAATTAGCTGTCTCACAAGTATGTATGGAATTGCACATGCAACTGAATTTGTGCATACAATACAGGAAAATTTTCTTTAAAAGGAAATCTCATTACAGAACTAGGGCAGTTGAGACAGCTCAGCCAGATGACCAAAGGATAGGGGTTTAATTCCAAGTAGGGTCAAGAGATTTTTTTCTTCTCCATAGAATCCAGACCAGCTCTGGGGCCCATCCAGCCTTCTCTCAAATGGGTAGCGTGGTCTCTTTCATTGGAGAAAAACATCTTCACAGTGTGGTACTTCTTTAACCCTTCAGCGCAGGCATTTAAATATCGCTGTTGTGGGGCCTCCTGCGGTAGTATTTTTTAACTGCCCATTTAAATTTTGCTCTAAATTTTATTATGTATCATAACTTTTGAACTATATGAGGTATAATTATGAATTTTTCACTGAAATCATATTAAAAGATGGTTTTATAATCTTACCTTATAATATGAGCGCCCTGTATCTGAGCGATGGAAGCAAGTGGATTAGAAATTGAGTTTCATATGGTATTTCTTGAAACATCCATCTAAACACACCCCCGCCGCACATTCACTAGACCAAAAATAAATTCTTTCCTTTTACCATGTTTTGTGCACACCACACATCTTTTTTGAGGCTTTGCTTTTTTCCTTTGGCTGGAATACGCTCCAGGAAATGTTCTGAGAGTCTTTTAGGCAGCGGCTCAACTGACGGATGGCCGTATACAGGACGAAGAAAACCAGAACCGTGATTTTCCACAAGGTCTTGTGTTAGTGAAAGTCTGAACTTTAGCGTGCCCATGATTTTATTATTCGGGAGACACCGATATATGACCATTGCGTTATGTATTGCTACATTCAGTAGCCTCTTGAATAACTTCTGATACTACTTAGTACTCTTCTTTCGTTCAAGCAAGTACGGCTGTAGCATTTGATCCGTCAGATCCACTCCTAGCATGTTTCTGTTGTAATGACAAACAACCAAGGGCTTTGTTTCTTGTTTCTGTTTGCTTTATTCACAACCACATGCATATCATCTTTGTGGTATGTTGATATCATAGTCACTCGGCCATCGTAACTGTGAGGTCAGCGTTCTGTTTAGACTGACTGGCAGAGCTGCAGGAAATTGAACGTTATATTTATAAGAACAGAGAGCACATTCTTTTCACAACAGCCCAGTGCAATCGTCATCATGCTGGCATGGTTTGTTCCATATTTATGGGCCTTCGAAATTAAGCTTACAGCTTGGCATACGGTGTACGGCAAACCGCAGGTAGGACCATTTAAATACCAGCGTACCATGTACAGCAAACCACGCTGAGGGGTTAAGCATGGAACAACTTAACCTTCATACATTTTGTTACAGAAGTATACAGGAATGTCCAACGTATGTGATAGAGGCAGTCCCAAAAAATGTCATGTAACTGGAAACTTTTACTCGATTTTTCATCCATTTGGTTTCAGTGCCTCTAGTTGTTGCTATAAATATGTAATCCAGTTAATTTTAATACCATTCATTTCAGTCATTTACAGGTCCTAATCATACTTTTGTTTCATACAAAAAATTTCACCGTCTCTTTAGTCTTCATTAAAAACTTCATACAAATCACATTAACACAAAATTAATGTCAGCTGAACATGTGTAAGTCTGGGTAGATTTACAGTTCCAAGTGGCACACAATACAAATAATGCAGATATTTACATATTTTACAGTGCCCATGGAATGGAATCATACACTATTAAAAACAGCTGTGTGCTGACCATTTGTTGATAAATTAATTTTTATAATTCCTACTTATCACTGCAACATAAATTATCATTTTAACATGAATCTAGGAACCTCTGACTACTGACTTCAACTGATGATCCAGATACTGCACCCTTCTCACCAACTTCTCTCGAGGATTGTACTTGGTATAAGGGATGGACAACACTTTGTAACCAGCTTTTTCCAGCAACTTCATACTCAGTACTGCCACACCATTCGGTTCTGGGATGCCACGACACATATCTCGGTAATCCCACGCCAGGATCCCAATTCTGTAATCATTCCAGGCACTGAGTTAGATGTAAGGTTCTCATAATGAGAACTGTGGAGGGCGCCACCCAGCAACAAGCAGGCAGCAAACAGTCATTGGTTACACGACCATTATGTGGTCAGTTTAATTTATATGATTTTTCAAAGTTGTTACTTAATTTTGAATTATCCTGTACTTCAAGGGTGAAGGTAAAGCTATCCCTGTAACAGGCCATGAAGCCGCATAGAGTTGTGAGAGGTTGAGGCTGCCACATCTTCTAAACAATCAGCCCACAGATGGCAGTAAGGTTGTCGGCCTCATGCGCCGGTCACCCTTTACCTACAGGAAGATTCCTGGTACTCATTTCTGTTAGAGGCTGAGTCGACCCCAGGGCCATAGTGCGGCTGGAAGGATTAGGTAAATTGAAATATCCAGTGACCTCATTGGGAATCAAACTTATGAACTTCAGGTTTGTAGCATAGTGCCTCAACAAACTATGCTACCGTGTAGTACTTTAAAGGAGCAGTTATTAATATTTCCTTAAGAACTTGCAGTCATCAGATATCAGTGCAGTACGCAATACATTAATGTTAAGTGCTGTCACACTGTAAAGCACACAGCAGAAAAATGTGTGGACACTTCTGAAGCAGCTGACAAAGGAACTACAACAGCTCAGTTTGTACAAAGACCAAGCCGCACTGAATGGCCAACAAATCAAATTCCCTGCAGATGTTCCACTCCCTCACAGCATCCAGACTGGCTCTGAGACCCACCCAGCACCCTATCGAATGGTATTGGGTCTCCTTCCCCTGAGCCTTCAAGATTACAACTCACTTCCACGCTGAGATTAAGAATGTGTGAACCACAGCGCCACGTCCTCATATGTCTTCATGGCATGGTTCTTAATTAAGCATAGGGCCAACTCTATGTTTCTACCTTAGCAGGTGCCATATTCGACATAACTTATACACACACCCACCTGTCAATACCATCCCCAAAACACCAGATTAATGACAATACGTTGTGCGTTCAAGTTCTAAGGTCTCCGATTTTTTTCTCACACAATAATCATACAAAAAATTTGAAACTTCTGTCACTTTTCAACATAATCTCCCTGCAGCTGTACACATTTTTCACAATGTCGACGCCATGATTCCATGGCCGCTGTGAACGCTTCTGTAGGAGTCTGTTTTGACCACTGGAAAATTGCTGATGCAATAGCGGCACGACTGGTGAATGTTTCAGGATTGAAAAATGATATCCATGTCTCATCCACTGTCACAGTTGATGAAAAGAAAGTCCCATTCTTGCCTTCATCACGTGTCAACATCGCCTGGCAAATTGCCATGCGCGCAGCCTTGTGGTCGTCCGCCAGCATTCGTGGCACCCACTTGGAGGACACTTTCCGCATTCGCAGGTCTTCATGCAGGATTTTGTGCACAGATCCCAAGGAAATGCCAACTTTGGAGGCGATGTTTTCCACACTCAATCGGCGATCCTCCAAAACAACTTCCTCAACTCGCTCGACCATGTTGTCAGACCGGCTGGTGCGAGGCTGAGATTGTTTTGGTTCGTTGTCACACGACGTTCGGCCTTCTTTGAACTGTCGCACCCACCAACGCACATTTTTCACATTCATGACACCATCACCACACGTCTCACTCAACTGGCGATGAATTTCAATGGGTGTCGCACCACGCAAGTGGAGAAAACGAATGATTACTCGCTGTTCTTGTAATGAAAATGTCGCCATTTTAAGTATCAAAAACACTCCTTACACTCGCCGCCACCACTAGAGTTCTGTGTGCCGTACAGTGCTGCCATCTTTGTCATGCATTCACAAAGAGTGCACACGTATTTTAAACTAAACCTCATGTGTCTATCTGCTCCCAGTCCAGAGAAAAAAATCGGAGACCTTAGAACTTGAACGCCCCTCGTATAATTTTATGCCAACATACCATGTATTCTTTAACCCTTACATTGCTGCGGTCGACATATGCTGATCTCTGAAAAACATGGCATCCTTGCTGCGATTGACAAAACCCGTATTGCGATTTTAGAGTTTCAAATCTCATGTTTCTTTGGACCAATATCATTCAAACTTGGCAGGTGCATAGAGTCATCTATTGGGAAAGTAATGAAGCATCATTCATTTCAATGGCTGTATTCTTCTGCCCTCTAGCTTAAGAAATGTAAAAGGTTGCATCTGCACAGCGAAGCACGTGCTCCGTGGTCATGTGGCATGGGTATTTCACAGGGCTAGTAAAAATGGCTTCATATAGTGCGTGGTGCTTTCTATAATAGTTTTAAATAAAGTTGTGGAATTTGGTCAACATGTGACATAGTGATAAGTAGGGCTCGGATTTCTATGACATCATATTTTTATCCTGGCATCTTTTCACATGTATAATTAAATATAAACGCATTTCTGACTCTTGTGAACATGAAAATACGGGTTTTATTGGTCATATAAATGCATATTTGAACCATATTTTAGCTTTAGGTCATATTTGGGCCCGAAGTGATATAAAATCATATTTTTGGTCATATTTTAGGCGAGTTTCACTTATTGCTCAGAAATATATTTGCAAGTATTGGCAACGATGTTATTTGGAACTTCATTTCTTAGAAATATTTGGCCTTGTGTAACGGGATTTGAAGGAATACTGTACAGTGTGAAGGGTAACGGTTCTTGACCTGGCATAGAATCAACCACTTTGAAAAGAGAAATTGCCACCTCTGCCTCTGT